AGCAGCACATCGGGCAGCTCCAGGCCAGGGCAGGGGCGCCTCTCTATTTCTCAACTGCTGCAGAAGGCCCGGCAAAGGACCCCGCTGCGCCCAGCAGCAGCAGCAGCAGCAGAAATACCAGCAGCAGCAGCAACAGCAACAGCAGCAGCAGCAGCAACAGCAGTAGCAGCAGCAGCAGCAGGTCATGGAGAGCCCTGGTGGCTGCTGCAGGCGCCCTGGGGGCCGCGGGCGTCTCCTGGGCGTTGCTGAGCAAGGGCTCTGCTGCTGCCCCCGGCAGCAGCAGCAGCAGCAGCAGCAGCAGCAGCAGCAAAAGTGGCAATGAGGGCCTCCTCGCGAAGTGGGCCCCCATGAAGGATGAACTCTTCGATAAGACTGATGACTTTTTAGTCCTCTTCTTTGGGGGCCCCCAAGATGTGGGGCCCCACAGGGCCCTCATAGAGAAGCTGGAAGCAGCAGTTGCTGCTGCAGTGCAGCAGCAGCAGCTCCCCAAAAGGCTCTCTCTCTTCTACGCTTTCAGGTAGGGCCCCATGAGCTGCTGCTGCTGCTGCTGCTGCTGTAGGGGCTGCAGCTGATGCAGGAGCTGCAGAGCTGCTGCATCTTCTCTTGCTGCTGCTCTGCTGCTGCTGCTGCTTCTTCCTATCTCCTAACCCCTTGTTGCTGCTGCTGCTGCTGCTGCAGGAGCAGCACAGAGGAGGGGCCCCCAGCAGCTCCAGGGGGCCCCGCGTTGATGCTTTATAAAGGGCAAAGGAAGAAAAGATTGTCTTTGGACCTGCAAGAGGCGCAGCTGCTGCTGCAGGACCCTCTCAGCAGGAGCAGCAGCAGCAGCAGCAGCAGCGACAGCAGCAGCGACAGCAGCAGCGACAGCAGCAGCAGCAGCAGCAGCAAGCCATCAATTGACTGGCTGCTGGAAAACCACGTGATGCCCGAGATGCATGCGTTCTTCCAGCCCCAAAGTGAGGAGCGGCAGCAGCAGCAGCAGCAGCAGCAGCATGCAGCAGCAGCAGCAACAGCAGCAGCAAATAAAATCCTCAAAGCGAAGGCGCTGCCGGTGTCTGTCACCTACGACACCTTCAAGCGAGAGGTATGGACACACGAGTTTGTTGTTGTTGCTGCTGCTACTGCTGTTGCTGCTGCTGCTCCTGCTGTTGCTGTTGTTGCTGCTGCTGCTCCCGCAGACCTGCGTTTGCAGCATTAGCAACAGCACCGAGACCGTCAGCAGCAACACTAGCAGTGGCAGCAGCAGCAGCAGTAGCCGCAGCTGCTGCTGCCACTATCTGCTGCTGCATGCCCTGCAAAAAGACTGCCGCAAACTCCAGCAGCAGCAGCGGCAGCGGCAGCAGCTTGTGCGTTTGTGTGCGCGTAGGTGCTGGAAGCAGCAGCAGCAGGGCCCCCCGTGCTGCTGCAGCTGCAGGAAGATGGCTGCTTCCTTTGCTTCTTAATGAGGCCTTTTATCAACTCTGTCTCGCAGCTGCTGGCCAAACACAACGTAAACCCTAAACCCTAAACCCTAAACCCTCGGTGGACCGCTGCAGCCCCTGCTGCTGCTGCTGCTGCTGCTGCTGCTGCAGCGCTGCTTCCCTCACCTGGCGGCTCCACTCGTTCGAAAATAAAGAACGAATATTTTAATTGATTAATTAAACTATTAAATTAATTTAATTAATTTAATTAATTAATTTAATTTAATCTAATTTAATTTAATTTAAGTTAGTTAGTTCTATTTGCTGCTGCTGCAGGTGCCCTTAACTATCAAACGCCTCAATTTGGCCAAAAATGATTTCCCCGAAGAATGCCCCGTCGCCAGGGCGACGCCCACCTTCGTCCTTTACCACAAGTCAGCAGCAGCAGCAGCAGCAGCAGCAGCAGCAGCAGCAGCAGCAGCAGCAGCAGCAGCAGCAGCAGCAGCAGCAGCAGCAGCAGCAGCAGCAGCAGCAGCAGCAACAGCAGCAGCAGCAGCAGCAGCAGCAGCAGCAGCAGCAGCAGCAGCAGCAGCAGCAGCTGAAGTTGCAGCGCTGCAGCAGCGGAAGCAGCAGCAGTAGCTATGGCAGAAACAGCAGCAACTGCAGCAACAGCTACAGCAGCAGCGGCAGCGAGAGCAGAGGCAGATCCAGAGGAAGCAGCTGCAGCAGCAGCAACAGAAGATACAACAGCAGCAGCCACAGCAGCAGCAGCAGCAGCAGCAGCCGAAGGAGCAACCGTGTTACCAGTTGCAGCAGTTATCGCAGCAGCAGCTATAATAGCAGCAGCAGCAGCAGCGCTGATAGTGGTGTAGAAGCAGGAGTGGCTGCAGCAGAAGATGCCGTGATAGCAGCAGCAGAAAGAGCAGCTGCAGCAGCAGCAGCAGCAACTTTGACAGCAAATCAGGCAGCAGCTGCAGCAACCCGCTTGTATAGGGCCTTGCAGCTAGCAGCAGCTGCTAGTGCAATTCAGGGTTCAGGGCCTAGTGCTTAGTCTTTAGGGTTTAGGGTTAAGGATTTAGCTCATACGGCTCAGGGTTTAGGGTTTAGGGTTTAGGGTTTAGGGTTTGGCTTGCGCTGCAGGGGCGGCTACGATCGGTGGGAGGAATTTAGGCCAAAAGACTTCGCAGCAAAAATTGTTAAGGTCCAGCAGCAACAGAATGCTGCTGCTGCTGCTGCTGCTGCTTCCTCTGGAAAGGTTGCTGCTGCTGCTGCGAATGCTGCCGCTGCTACTTCTGCTGCTGTTGCTGCAAATGCTGCTACTGCTTCTGCTGCTTCTACAGCAGCGGCTGCTGCTGCTGCAGCCAGCCTTTGCTCCTGCTGCAATTGCTGCCGCTGCTCCAACTGCTGCTGCTGCTGGCGCTGCTGCTGCTGCTTGTGCTGCTGCTGCTGCAGGAGGCGTCGCTGCCAGCTGAGCTGCAGCAGCAGCTGGAAGATCTTGTGGAGCAGCTGCAGGACAGGTTTAGATCATTCGGCCTTCTCTCTGTCTGGTGAGGGTTTAGGGTTTAGGGTTTAGGGTTTAGCGTTTAGGGTTTCGGGCTAGCTAGGCACTACCCTGGCTAGCTAATCAGCCAGCTAGCTAGCCAGATACCTAACCCTCCAGCTAGCTAGCTGGCCAGGTAGCTAGCTAGCCAGCTAGCTAGCAGCTAGCTAGCTGCTTTTTAGAAAGCGAATGTGGATGTCTGAATGCGCAGGTTGCTGGAGCTGCAGAAGCTGCAGGATTTGCTGCTAGCTGGCTAGCTTCTAGCTAGCTAGGCGCTTAGCTGGCTTCTAGCTATCTACCCAGCTAACTGACCAGCTAGCTAGCTAGCTAGCTAGCTAGCTAGCTAGCTAGCTGCTTTTTAGAAAGCGAATGTGGATGTCTGAATGCGCAGGTTGCTGGAGCTGCAGAAGCTGCAGGATTTGCTGCTGCCGCGAGTGCAGCAGCAGCAGCAGCAGGACGACCCCAAAGCAGCAAAAGCAGCAGAGGACAAAAAGTTTGAAGATCTTGTGACTGTCTTAATGGAAGAGGTGATGCTTTTATTTAATATTCTTTTTTTCTTTTTTCTTTTTTTCATTTTGTATTATTCTTTTTTTCTTTCTTTTTTAGTTTTTATTCCCTTTTATCTCTTTTTATCTGCTCTCTGTCTTATCTTCTTCATTTCCTTTTTGTCCTTTTGTTTTTTTTTTACAATTTTTTAATTTTTAATTTTTCTTTTTTTTTTAATTTCAGGATATGTTGAGGACAGACAATTTGGAAGAAAGTCTTGAGCATATAAAAACAGAAATTGCAGGGGCCCAGGCGGACTGCATTGCTTTGGCCATTGTAGGGTTTAGGGTTTAGGGTTTAGGGTTTAGGGTTTAGGGTTTGGGGTTTAAGGGGCTGTGGGGGCGCTCTTAGAGACAGCGAGAACCGGCGCAGGGAAAAGGGTGCGGCTCTCTTTAGGGTTTAGGGTTTAGGGTTTAGGGTTTGTTTGCAGATGATGGGGGAGGAGCTCATGCGGCAAGAGGTGGACTTCATGGGCAAAGCCCTCCTCGCAGCAGAGGCGGGGCCCCCCAGGGGCCCCGAAGCAACTGAGGGGGCCCCCAGGGGCCTCCCAGCAACTGAGGGGGCCGCCGGGGGCCCCCAAGCAAGTGAAGGGGCCCCCCAGCCAGACCCACCTAATTTGGGGGCCCCTCAGGGCCCCCCTGAACAGTCTGGGGCCCCTTTGGAGACCCCCAAGTAAGGGGGGCCCCATAAGAAGGGGCCCCCAAGGGGGGCCCCCTGGAGGGCTTGCTTCAGGGGGCCCCCTGGGGGCCCCCTGGGGGCCCCCTAGGGGGCCCCCCAGCCCGTGAGGGCCTCCATTTTGGGCTTTTTGGGACAGTATTAGGAAGGGAGGCCCCAGACCATCAAGTTAACGTTTTGGGGCCCCCTAGAGGTTTACAAGTTAGGGTTTAGGGTTCAGCCCCTACGAGGGGCCCCCAAACCCTTCCAGCCAACACACAGGGGCCCCCCAAGGGGCCCCTAGGCCATATTCAATGCAGAGGGGCCCCTGTAGGGTCTGGGGGCCCCTGTAGGATCTAGGGGCCCCTACAGGGGCCCCTAGGCTTTCTAACCAACACAAGGGGGCCCCTAAGGGGGCCCCATGAGACTCCGACGACTCAAGGGGGCCTCCCACTGGGGCCCCCATTTTCTTCAAGCTAAACCCTAAATCAGCTGATGGCACTTCTGAGCTGCCAGGGGCCCCCAAGGGCCTCTCAGGGGCCCCTTGGGGCCCCCTTAGGGCCCCCATAACAGCTCTTTCAGGGCCCCCCCCTTGGGAATACCCTTAGGGTCTTTTTTCTGGGCCCCTTCGGGGCCTCGCTAGGTTATTGAGGGGCCCTCCAAGGGCCTCGAGGGCCCCCCAAGGGCCTCGAGGGGCGTCCAAGAGCCTGGGGGGCCCCCCAAGGGCCTGGGGGGCCCCCCAAGGGCC